AATTACGGAACCCAAATTAGTTCAGTGCGGACAAAACATGCGCGCTCAAAGCTGAAGCCGCGGTCCCCCACGTAAATCGGGACGTCCCTGGTTCGATTACCGATCCTTGGATTCGTGGCTCTGTTTACTTTGTCCACATGGACACTACAGGTGCAATCCCAAACGCGTCGCTAACCCTTTAAAGTCCAGTGGTAACTATACGTACCACCTGCTATAATTATTACAGCAGCGGCGAATTCTCGTGTTTCGCGAGATTCTCCAGGAGGCGGTTCTCCTACTTGCGCCGCTCGAGACTCACCTGTTGATCTTCCTGACGGCCGTCTTCAGAGCGTGGAAGTCGGGCCGATCGGTCGCCTCCTCGGCCCAGCAGTGTCTCATGAGGCTGACGACCTCCTCCTCGCACGTCAGCTGCTCCACCGTCGGCCGGAAACTGAGCTTTTGCCCGTTCCTCACGTTCTCGACGATCTCTGCACAAAAGCAAGTCGGAGCCCCTTAACAAGCTGACAGTGGCTCACCCCGCCTTTTACGGAACCACAAGAGCCTCTTTCTTGAGCCACACCCTACGGCTTCAACTTCCATTTTAATATTATCCCTAGACCTCACAAGGAATCGTTTCCTCCAGGTCCTCGGACCAACAATTTGCAGACATTCATACCACGGAATCGTTGAACGCTCGGTGCAGTCGATCTCTGGCGCTATCGAAAACGCAACTGAACGCTTTCCGCTGGCGTCTGGGGGCTTTCTGACAGCGGCAGACCGAAGCTGTTGTTTGAGCGAAATCGATTTGGCAGTTCGATTAAAGCAACGGAGAGGCATTTTTTTTTCATCAGCAAGAATATTAAGCGCCTGGCGTATCTGCATCTTGCATTTCGCTAGACACACAACCAGCAACGCCCCGAATGAACTTGCCTGTTAACTTATTTTGTATGCGAACTAGTTTCGTTGGCTGCGATAATTAGCGGCCAGAATGAAGGTAGAAATTTGTTATTCAGATCCGTCAAAGCAAAAGAGAGAGAGAGACAAAGCTCCTCTGAGCGTAGACCAGGCTACAAAGAACACGGAATTAATGGCAAAGACAGAGCAGCTCCAAGTTCATTAAGCCAGGAGCTCCGATCGGAAGTCTTTAATGGCTTCCTCTTAAAGTCGTCAACGGAACAAAAGGAACCGCCCGCCTCCTTCCACCCTTCAGAGGGGGCGAGGAGGCGCGCTGCTTTATCAGCGCCTACAAAACGGAAATCAATCAAGCCGTGATCAGAGTGGTGGGGCATGTAGCACGCATTAAGGATGGAAAATGTATACGAAATTTTGGTCGGGAACCTGAAGGAAAGGGACCTAAGCCTACATGAGAGGATAATATTAAAATGGGAAGAAGCGATGACGCTGACTTGCTCCGACCGCACGATGAACAAACTGAATGCATGGTGGGGGTCGTACCCGTGCGAAGGTACTGAACGGATCTGGAAGAAACTTGGTACTGCAACATTATCACCCCTGCACGCTTCAGGTACGCAAACAGAAACACACATCAGAACTCCGAAGGCTTCGTTTCTACGAGTCTCCAGTCGGAGCGTTAGAGGTCATACCAATTGAGCACCAAGAACTTGTTGAAACACATTTACACTGTTTGTACTTAGAGATTAATCAAAAACGGGTGACTGAATCACATTCTTGGGAATAAACGTAACTTTCGGTAAACAGTTTCACAGCAAGAAAATCTTCAGCCTGAAGATGGGAGCGATAATTCCATCCGAATGCTGGCAACCACCTGCAAGGGCACACGGTGTCACAACCCACCGCCACGAGAACCTCAGACCTCAGGCCAAGCGCCGATCGCTGGCATTTCCGACGCCCTGCCCGCG